TCAGGTGGAAGCTGGGGGGGCTGTGACAACCCAGGATACCATAGGAGGACGGAGAGTGATCGTCGGTGCGAGAGACACAGACAAAGAGCGGCTCCTGATCGAGCTTCTGGATAGGGGGACATGGATGAATTGAACGCACAGTCTTGGATAGGGGGTACAGGGATGAATCGAATGCACCGGAATGAGAGGGATTTGAGGGCTGTGTAGGCATGGGACTATACAATCAAAGATAACTTAAAGAAATTGATTGAGCTACTCATAGCAATAAGATGCATCTACCTTTTCAGTTGTTCATCTCGAGAGAACTCCAAAAGTTAAGGTGCTCGCTTTGGAGTAGTCGTTGGAGGGATGACATCCTGGGAAGTAGTATTTCCGGGATATATGCGAGTGTGGACAAAACACGCTAAAAGGTCTCGTGTTGGTGTATGAGGACAGCTTTGACATTCCATAGCGGCCTCGGGTCGTCACACATACAAATACTGAAGGACATGTATGAAAGTGCGACCACTAGTGTTCGAACAACAGGGGGTGACACGTGAGACTTTTCCATCTCGATAGAATTGCAATAAGGATCCGCTTTAAGTCCGTACCTCTTCACGTTAGTCATGGACGGATTGACTAGGGATATATAGAAAGAAGTATCGTGGTGTATAATGTTTACGGACGATATCTTGTTAATAGATGCGTCTCAGAAAGGAGTAAATGAACAATTAGAGTTATGGAGGACTACATTAGAGGCTAAGGGTTTTAGCCTATTAGAACGAAGACCGAGTACATGCATTGCGATTTTAGTAGGAGGTGTTCTAGTGATGTAGGAATTAACTTGTAAGGAGGATTAGTACCTCAAAACACGCATTTTAAATATTTTGGTTTAATCCTCCAAAAGGATAGAGGTTGCGATGAAGATGTTAGTCATAGAATAAAAGCGGGATGAATGAATTAATGGAAACAAGCCATGATAGATCCTTTGCGATTGCAATACGGTTGAAGAGAAAACTCTTCCGTACAACTATAAGATCCGCATTGATGTGTGGTAGCGAGTGTTGGGTATCAAAAGGATAACATGTGCCCAAAATGTATGTGGTTGAGATGAGGATGTTGCGATGGATGTAAGATATATATGGATGGATAGAATTCAGAATAAGAGTATCAGAGAGAAATCAAGAATCGTAACCATAGAAGAGAAATTATGTGAGGGGAGCTTAAGGTGGTTTGAACATGTAAAACGTATATTGTTCGACGCTCCAATTAGAAAATTAGAGAACACAATGATGGAAGTGAAGAAATGAGGAAGAGGTAGGTCTAAACTTACTTGGGAACGAGTCATTAGAAATGATTTGGATGTGTTGTAAATCTCGGAACATATGACGCAAAACCGAAATGAATGAAAACGAAGAATTCATACGGTCAACCCTAAATAAAATTGGAATTAAGACGATGTTGTTGTTTTTATCTAATTATAAAAAAAAATTATTGGGTTTGCTATTGTTTATACACACGAATATAAATTAACCCAGAACCAAATGTTGTCGTTCCAACCCCGGTTTTCTTGCAAAGCAACACCGAATACAATCTCACTCTCGGTTTGCTCCAAACCGAAAATCGAAAGTGTCTTTCTAATCTTTATATATTAATTTAATCAGATGATAATAATTACGTGGAGGAAGTTCGAACAAAAAGCCAACTTCCTAACCTTGTTTAGGAAACTTATCAGGAACCTATTCTATGGTTTTATTTGACGATTCCAAACACGTAATATTTGATTCTATCATATTTATGATATATATATTCGTTGTTCATAAAATTCTATTTCAATTTCAAAATCCTAATTAAACACAAATTCAAATCTCAAAATCTAAACATTCTTAGAATCTTAGATATTAATATTGTGGTTCTCCTGCACACAACCGTATTTACCAACTGTATGTATTTTTTTTATGGAATATATTGATATTTGATCGTTTTCTAATCACAAAAAAGAAACTTATATATATTTTTCAAAATTAAAACATATAATAAAAGCATGCAATTAGTACAACCATTAGTCCAATTATGTTATGTATTGAAATGCGACCAATCATTAAATCAATCATTATTTCCGATTTTACGTCTCATTGTTTGGTATCTTCCAACCGTATAATTCAATTTGCAAATTCTTTTTCTTTTCTTGATTGCTTAGTTAAACAATTCAAAGATAATAATTACAACCAACTAAATAATATGTGAAAAATTTATTTGAAACCTAATATTCTATTTATATATATATATATATATATATATATATAACGTTTACTACAAAACGATTACATAACATGTAACATATGCTCGTATTACCATTTAACATTTCCACAGTATCCTTGCGGTGAGTTGTGATATGCTCGTATTACCATTTAACATTTCCACAACCACAAACATAAATATGTCATAATGGTTATATGGACCGTTGCAATCAGGCTAAACGATATTCGTGTTACATGCATTTTACTTAATCAGAAATATATATATATATATATATATATATATATATATATATGCATATGATATATATTTATTAGGATGGATACGAGTCGTGTATCAGCATTTTTGGAGATACTAGTTTTCGTTTTCGTCATTCTAAGTTTTATAGAAATTTATCTATCTCTATCTCACAACATTGAAATACCTGTTAGTTAGGTACTCGTGACTAAAAGATGAGTATCCACGAATATCCGTATCCGTATATACAATATTCACTAATTAAAATTAAATCAAATATTCGACAAAATCATATATATTTTGATCCACAAACACATCTAAAGTTTGAAAATTTTTTAAATATAAAAATATATATAGATTTCTAGAAAGTTTTTCAAAGATACAAAATGATTTTGAAGTTGAAAGGGTAGAAACATTATAAAACCTTAGATATTTTGATAAATAGTTTGAAGTATAAAGGTAATTTTATCTTTTTTATATATATACGGATACCTATGGATACCCTTTCTTTAAATCTCCGAAATCCGAATTGGAACCCGTCATACAGATTTTCCACATTTTATTACTCATCTCGTGTTCATTGAGTGTTGAGTATGTATTTTTCAAATAAACGCGAGATTGGGTATCCGCAAACCCGCGGATAACGGGTTTAAATGTCCATCCTATTATTTATGTCTGGTCAAACTCTTTGGAAAAATTTCTAATGAAATCAAGTAAAATTTAGTATAATATCGGTTTGGTTTGATATGAAAAAAATTTCTAATCCAAATAAAACCAGTCTTGGTTGAGATGATTAAATTGTTCTTTACGTCCGTTTCATTAGAATAATACAATGTAATTATATTAAGAAAAATAAAACATAATAATATCATATTTTTCAAAACTATACTAACATTTAATACCTAGTAATTTGTCCTTTTGCCTCTCTTTAAGAACCCATACCTCATAAAACCACAACGGTAACCGCCATTCACAGCGTAGCTCATCGCCATTAAAAAAATTACTTTCAATATAGCATTAATTTACGGTACATTTCATTTAATTTAATTTCACTTTTTTATATCTTATAAATTATTAATCTCATAATTTATTCCAAATATCTGATAATTTGTTTTTAGAAATTTTGACCATAGTTTTTTATTTTATTTTTTATTTTATAATTTTAGACTTATCCTCACTTGTCATTGATTTATTTTACAAAATATTAATTTAATCAACGATTTCTGTTGATAAAAAATATTTTAAAATTTTTCATTTAATTTTGTCATTTTTCTATGAGATTATATTTTTTCTACATAAAATAATATGTTCATAATCTTAGGCGCTAATGATTGTCGATGTCTGAATGATTATTTATTTGTATTGTTTTATATAAACAAATTTATTTAATTATGTGAGTAACAATGTTATTATATCCAATATATTTAAAAATAGAGAAATGTTTGCTTCATTGTTGTTCTCTATATTTGATTTTTAATATTTTATGTGATATTTTATTTTCCCTGTAAAAAAAAAAATCTACATATACCATTATATATATACATATACATATATATAATAGGTTTGAACCTCACGCTACAAGTGATTAATTTTGTAAACATTTTAGAATATCATGCATATGTCTAAACTCGTCACATTTGTTATGATACGTATTTTTATGTTGTCCAATAAGTAGATAATCCCTTCGTTTATACGTTAATGCTCCTATTGATTTTCATTGATCCGTATAACGTATTATTATACTTAGAAAAAAATGAAAAATAAATTTTGTTGGATATATTTTATTTTTTAATCTTTAAAATGTAATACATAGATATTAATATAATATGTATATGTTTATAGCATATAAAAAAAATGCTGCTCAAAATTCACGTTCCTAATATCGTATACTTCTAAAAATTTGTAAGAATCGAGAAAAGGAAATGCAATGCTTTTCAAACGAAATAATAACAAAGGAAAATCATTGGGGAAGATATTACTTTCAAAATTATATGTAATTAGAAACTCAATTTTTTTAATTAAAAAAATAGAACTTCAAAGTCAATTATATAGGGCAAGACAAAAAAAAAATTTGTTTTAGAGAATGACATGTGTCACCCTCATAATATTTCAATCTTAAATGAACATACTAGCTAGTGGAAAGAAAAAATATATATAAATATACACCCAAAAACTAATTTTAATAATCTTAATTAAACGAAATTGAAAATCGCAATTATAATGTATGGATGTCGCGTTGAATAATGTTTTATCCATTACTTTGATGTAGCAAAGCATACAACATGAATTACCAAGACACAACTCACAACAAGAAGGGGCCCAATATAAAAAAAAATCTCCCAAAATTCAGATGAGAATTCCATTATTTTTTACCATATAAAGAGAAAACAATTAAAAAATATTATTAAGCAAACAAATTCTCAATAAATTCCTCTTCAAAAGCACCCTCCTTGGTCTTGGTTCCTTTCCCATTCTGAACTCTCTCTCTCTCTCTCTCTCTCTCTCTCTCTCTCTCTCTCTCAACTCTCATTCATAGCATATAGACTCTTTCAAAGTACGTTGCCTGTGCCTGTGCTGTCTTTCTCAACTCTTAGTCCTTTGCCTCAGAAAAAAGGTAATCTCTCTCTCTCTCTCTCTCTCTCTCTCTCTCTCTATCTCTCTCTCTCAACAACACAACAGCACACAAAACAAAAGAACATTAGACACAAAGATAATGTGTGCTAAGATAGATTCTCTTGAATAAAAAACAGTTTACTACAGGACTAACCATCACTGTTCTCTTTTGTTTTTCCTCTAATTATAGTTTTTTTTTTTTTGCAGGCTAGGGGCAAAAACCCTGCTTTCTCATTTCGCGGATCATCATCACCATCATGTCTTTCTCACCTCTATAGTCTCTCAAGATTTTATGTTTCCCTTGCTTTTTTGGGTTCCGGGGGAAATTCTTGAGTACAAGTGTCATTCTCAAATGTGTTTTTAGGGTTTAATTATTCATTGCTTCAAACCCCCAAAAAAAGAAAGGAAAGAAAAAAAGACATGAACAACGCCATCAACACCAATGACCTTGTGTTTTGCCCTTATAATGACCGCTCCTCTCCACCGCTATTACCCAACTTTAGCCTCTCCCCTTCCTTCAACCCGAACCCGAAACCATCCGATGATCATTACCCTCGCCGTCATGATCTTGATGATTATAATCATCATCATCATCTCCTAGATTCTTCGCCCTCTCCCCAATTTGAATTCGACCCAGAAAGCCTTTACGCCATTTTCCTCAGACCAAACAATGATCATGATGACAACAACAACAACAACAACAACCGAGATCTCCTTCCTTTGAACAACAACACCGTCCAAGACCAAAGAGTTGACGCATCAGAGACCATCACTCACATGGAAGATTCCAAGAAGGTCGCCAACTCTCCATACCCAGCTCGAGCTAATCCCAGGAAAAGGGCAAGCAAGACGGACAGGCACAGCAAGATCTACACTGCCAAAGGTCCGAGAGACCGAAGGATGAGGCTGTCGCTCGAGGTGGCGAGAGAGTTCTTCGGTTTACAAGACATGCTCGGATTCGACAAAGCCAGCAAAACAGTTGACTGGTTGCTCACACAGGCCAAATCCGAGATCAAGAAGCTCTCGAGGAGCCTCCCCAAGCGATTTGACAGCGGTTTGATGAGCAGCGAGGAGTCACAAACACGTACGCAAAAACCCCATCATCTTCGTTTTCTTTCAATGAAATTAGTGTGTTCTAAACTTGTGTCTTGTAATCGTTGATGGGTATGGATTGGTCTTGGCGAAGCTGCACCTGGTTGGATCGGCGAGAGAGGAAGCAAGATGAACACCGGTACGTTTTCTTTCAATGAAAGTTTCAATCTTTACCACTCCAAGCTTATATCATTTTGCATCCATCTGATTCGTTTCATCGGTTTAGGGACGGACAGCACATGGGCTGATCCTCACGAAGTTGCGTCAGCATCAACGAACGAGATCGAGATCGATGGAAAATCGGGGAAGGAGAAGAAGAAGAAGAAGAAGAAGAGATCACAGTCGAGAAATCCCATCTTCAGGAAGCTTCCAAAGGATGCGAGAACGAAGGCAAGAGAGCGGGCAAAGGAGAGAACGAAGGAGAAGATGATGATGAGGCAAAGATCGTCATCAGAAGCTGCGGTTTATATGAAGAACGGCGAAGTGAACGACCACTTGGGCACGAGCTCGAACTGGAGTTCGTTCGAAACCGGGGAAGATTCTGTCCAAGAGGTCAAAGAACCGAGCCCAAGCGACCAATTCGTTGCTTGTAATAACATTGGGATCACTCAAGAATCTCTGGATATAATCAACAAGTGGAGCCCTTTCTCCCTCTTTAATTACCATCAAAACCAAGGATCAGCTTCTTCCATGGAGGTGCGTTTTCTTATATCATAATGACACAAGACTCGTAATTCAATTCTATTTATTGAATACTAGTCTATCTTCATCAACCCTCAGATTAAATATAGTCCATATTCGGTTTATAAAACATGTATTTCACGAAATTTTCGAGTTCAATTTATTACAAGATTATGTAAAAGAAATTAAGTTCTATATATGTCGCCCGTTTATAACTATTTTTTTTCTTCTCCATTTTGATGACTATTAAAGAGATATATAGAGATTCCAATATGCATCAGTTACACAAAAGATCTTCAACACAAAATAATACATATAATTTTTTTTTTTTTTTTTTGCATTTTGTCACGGTTGCGACCTTTTATAACGAACGAATAATGTTATTCTTTTTGGAGGATATATATAGGAACAAAGCGCAACTTTTGCGGAGCTTCTATATTATATTATATATATAATAGACCATACGATATTTCTTGAAAACACACACACACATATATATATATATATATATATATATATATATGCATCTATATATATTTATATATACGCATCTATATATATATATATATGACTGAACATGTTAAGTTTGTCGAGTGCGGACATTGTGAGTTCGATGTATACAGGTGTGTTTTTTTTCTGTGTGTATGTATATATATATATATATATATATATATAATCTTTATTTAGTTATTTCACCAAACGAAAAAGAAATGGGAACTTCATTAATTCGAGATCATTGCAGAATCAGTATATGGATCATCATCAGCTCTTGGGGAAGCCGAGGAATGATTTCTACAACTCACAAAACATGTGTTGAGGAAAATCGTTATATCAATTAATAATAATGGGCCGTTTTCATCGTAAACCATGCCTTGGTAAGTGATTTTCTTGTAAATTTTTTTTTTTGTGTGTGTGTTTTTTTTAGTTTCTCTACTTTATGTTGCTTGTTGAACGGTAAGGTTTTTCTATGGCACGAACAGTTCCTCTCATCCTATATGCTTTTTCTTAATCTGTGATTCGTGAAGACAAGCTGATACACTTCTGTATATATGTATATATATATATATATATGTATGTGTGTGTGTGTCTCTCCTTTTCCATCATTTGATTTCTCTTCATTGTCGTCGTTCTTCTTGTAATTATTTGTTCCATATATGTGTTTTGTCTAAGGGACCGATGGCAAAATTCTCTATCCATTTTTCATCCGCTATACACCGATATGAAATTTCATGGTGCAACTACATGAAATTTCGGTATAAAACTATATATATATATATATATATATATATTTGTTTATTATTCCGGTTCAGTTAATTTTCATCTTTTGATTTATTTTCAACGCCATCTATATTTGATACAAGATTCTTTCAACGTTTCGCCTTTTTCATCCATTGATTTCATATAGAAAATCCACATAGCTAGAGACCGTTCGCTTTTATTTCAGATTTTCTTGTGAAAATTAGTTGCTATCTTTTAGTTAACATGATAGAATATCATTGATCAATAGCGAAAATAATAATAATTCATATATTTTTACATTTTGAATCGATATAGAAAAATTTACATACTTCCCTTTGATTTTTTTTTTGTTGTTGTTGTTCCATTAAAATCAAACTTATTCTATATGCTTTTTATTTATGTGTTTTCTTGGAAAAATCGGTTGATATTTTATGTTAAAATATTATTAATCAACAAAAAAATTAATGTCTCGCCTTTTTTCCACCTATTAAAATGGTGTAGAAAAATCAAGGTACTTTGCTTGATTTTTTTTTTGTGCCATCCAAATCAAGTACACTCTATATACTTTTATTTCTGTATTTTTCTCGTAAAAATTGATTGATATTTTTTGGGTTAATTATTAGAATATCATTAGTTAACAATAATATTTCACGTTTTCTATATATATATATATATATATATATATATATATAGAAAAATAGAAGTAGTTCACTTGATATATGATATTCTAATAATTAACCCAAAAAATATCAATCAATTTTTACGAGAAAAATACAGAAATAAAAGTATATAGAGTGTACTTGATTTGGATGGCACAAAAAAAAAATCAAGCAAAGTACCTTGATTTTTCTACACCATTTTAATAGGTGGAAAAAAGGCGAGACATTAATTTTTTTGTTGATTAATAATATTTTAACATAAAATATCAACCGATTTTTCCAAGAAAACACATAAATAAAAAGCATATAGAATAAGTTTGATTTTAATGGAACAACAACAACAAAAAAAAAATCAAAGGGAAGTATGTAAATTTTTCTATATCGATTCAAAATGTAAATATTTTACTTAAAATGTTAGAATATATATCCAATAAGAAAATTATACGAAAGAAAGCTCCATTAGAGTAATGTTAGAAGTTAATTTTAATGATTGAATTTCTTTATATAATTATCTCCTAATATTCTTCGATATATTTCTTGTGATAATGATTGGTTGATCACTCTCCACGTGTTTTTCTCTTAGCTTTGGTTATAATTAAAAGGCTCTCAACTATTCCTTTTACATGCCTTTATTCTTAGCGGTTCACGCACATGTATACGTACGTACATATATTGAATATATGCGTATAGACACACATACACACACATTTACCTAATGGCCGATCAAAAAAAAATATTCATTGTGGGCATATTAGTATAATAAAAACAAAAACTTAGTTATAAACAAATTCTATTGGATCGTAACGATATTTGTTTACCAAATTTTACACAAAAAAATTATCTACATCATTGACGTGATGACATATACGATGCCCTATGTTTTGGCTTTCATTATCAACCTCTTGCGGAGATATATAAAATAGTAGTAATACGAAAATTTAAGATATTTTAATATTCGAAATTCGGCAAAAAATTGCAATTTGTTTTTCTGCGGAATTAGTTAACTACCATTTTTTCCATAATCGTAGTAAGACAAATTATTTATTTGATTTTTTTTTTTTTTACTTTTAGGATTTGTGATATAAAGTTTTTTCTTCTTACGGAACAAATTTAGTGTTGAAAGATCTTTAAGTTTCCATTAAAAAAAGGAATAAAATTGCTATATTTGTAAGACCCTTTAGTTTTGGAATATTTTCATAAATATCCATTTTGTCCCGACTATTTCATTGTTTTGAATTTTTCCAATTTATGTTTTCTATTATTATGTTTCCATTTTTTTTAAAATAAAATATTATTAGAGACTATGATAACGAGTATCCGACAAACTCGTCTTCACTTATTTGTTCCACTGATGTTTTTTTTTTTCTTATGAAACACTTGATGTGTTTTATCTATCCACACACATTTAATTATTTGGATTGAACGTTTAAACTTTTGAGACATGACTGAATTGACGTACGCATGATGCCTTGATCCACCGAATTGGTCCAAAGTCATGTTTTTCCCACTTTCATGTTAAGAATGTTTTTGTCCGTTTCTATTTTGATGTTATTCTTGTGGAACATGAAACCACATATTATCACATTTGGCTTCCATTAATTTGGTTGCATATGAGGAAAAAAGGGATTATATATTGTAAATATGTGTAAAATCATTAATGATTCGACTCTCAACTTAGAGATGGACGATACTTTACTAATCCTTCGGGAATATAATCGGGACGAAACCATAATGAATTTTCGTATTATAAAAAAATCATTAATGATAATAGGGTTCGCATGAATTTCGAGTTCAGATACCACAAAATAAGGATTGAAATTGAGTCAAATTAGATGTAAAAGAGTATGGTTTAGTTCTTAATTGGGTGTGTTAATCAAATTATATAGATTGGTTTTTATTTTATTTTTTAATTAATAAATCATCGGATTTTCAACCTAATTAGATCTTCCAATATTCCAATAGATCGGAAAAGTTCATGCGAATGGCTCTCTCTATATAGAAACTCAAACCTAAGTTGAAAAACATATTTAACATATTCCTAGTAATCCCTTACTAGTTGAGCTAATCGATGTTGGATAGATTTTTTTTTATTAAAGTTACTATATACGAAGAACACCCAAAAATTCTAGAAAAAAGAAACTCCATAGAATTATTTTAGATATTTTGAATTGATGCGGTGTATAAAAGGATATAAAGTTTCGATTTTTTTTTTTGTTTTAAAATGTAGCATTTATTAGTTTTGAGGTTATAGCTAGTTTAGTTCTATGAAATACAGTTTTTAGCAACTGTTGTTTTTATTGTTTGATAAAAGACGGAATTGTGTACCTAATTTACTTTTTTGTTTCGTTATTATCTCCAAGAATTGAAGGATTTCATATATATATTACGAAATTAATTGACATTCTCAATTTAATAATTGTATAATGAAAGACTGAATTGTCGGAGACCTACTTAAGTGATATGATATTATATCTCTTGGCATTATCATATATGCTCGTATAGTATGTAAGTGACCCTATATTGGCACTCTCATGTGACATGTACCTTCTTTGCAAAGAGCCACACATTTTCGCATCTCTCTCTCTCTCTCTATCGGCATATACACAGGACAGGACCACAGAATGGCATAGAAGAAGAAAAAAAAATCTTTAAATTCTCCGTTATATTATATATATATATATATATATATATATATATGGTGAAATTTCATATTGTTTTTAAAAAAAGTTGATGTGTATGTATAATATCGTGTCTATTGATCTCAATATAGAGGATTTATGTGTTGGACTTTAAGCTACGATTAGTTCGAGTAACAACACATCATATTCGGCCCAAAAACAGTTTGGAAGAGATCTCATCTCAGTATTTTTGTTATGAGCACAATTTTTAAAAAAGCTCTATGTTTTCATTAACAATTTGCTGATTGGAATGGGGAGAGATACTGTTTGTTTCCACAATCAAGATGATTAAGTGCTACTATAATAGATTTCAATAGAGATAATAGAGATTAAGATCCAAAAGAACTATAATTAACTAAGAAATTGGAAAAAAACACACAAAATAAAGCACAAAAAAAGATTCATTAACTAGTAGATCGAAATATTGCAGAATTGAGAACAAAAAAGGAAATAAATAAATAAAAAAAAGGTCCAGGGAAGATGAGGATGAACAGAACAGCTGTTTCACACCCAATTAGAAAGAAAGAAAGAAGAAACAATAAAATCAGATCACCACACTTACCTTTCAATTAAATCCCAGATTATGTAAGAAAAAAACATATATAATCATCTAAAGCATGTGTATTTTAAACATAAAAAAATATAATCCTAGAAAATTTTGAAGCAGAGGGAAAATTTTCTCCCAAAAGAAACCCTAGATCTGAGACCTGGAGGCGAGAAAAAAAAAACTATTCATAAAAAGAAAGCCTGAAATTTTGTTTGTAAAAGACACTGAACACATGTACTTAAACAAATCCAGGCATAGATATGTAGAGATAAGTACAAAACAACATAAAAATTTCTATTTTAATAACTTAATATTTAATGCCCATTTTGAAAAAAACAAAACCCTAGAAGAAATTTGAAACCCTAGAGAGAGAAAGACGCGGAAACTAACCCTAGACGAAACAGCCAAGAGGGAGAACAGTGGAAATCCGGCATCAATGGCGGATTTTTAGGGTTTCAGAAAAATCTTGATTTTTTTTTTAGTTCGTCCTTTTTTTTCCCTCTTTTGTGTTCAGTACCAAATGGAGAAGTGGGTGAAGACTCACACCCACCAAGAGAGAGAGATAGAGAGAGAGAGAGAGAGAGAGTGAGAGAGAGAGAAACAGTGTGTCTCTATGTGCGCCGTACATATTTATTTTTGGTTTTTATGGATGATTTTTCTCTAATATTGATTGCAAAAAATCTATTGTAAAATGTAATTTTAAGGATTTATTATATTCGCAAGGTTTTAGCTTGGAACATAAATGATAAAGCCTCTTATTGAGAAAATAGGGTACATGGCCGTCATGGCTTTCATACGAGAGGTACATATAGTATATATTTGTATATGTACAAAGAGTTAAAAAGTTCAAAAGTTATATTTAATACATTAACCTATAATAAGTATT